ATAGCATTTTCAATAAATTAATGATCCTGGGAAATCTAGATATTCATATGCAGAAAAATGAAACCAGATTATTTTCTCAAACCGTATATAAAAATCAACTCAAATGAATTAAAAGCTTAAATGTAAGAGCCAAAACTATAAACGACTAAAAGAAAACAGGAAGAATATTTCAGAACATTGGTTTGGCCAAATACTTTATGGATAAGACCTTAAAAGTATAGGCAACAAAAGCAAAAATAGATGAACAGGACCATATAAAACTAAAATGCTCTCCACAGCAAAAGAAACAGTCAACAGAATAAAGAGACAACCTGTTGAATAGGAGAAAATATTTGCAAGCTATTCACCTGAGAAGGTATTAATATCCAGAACATACATGGAACTCAACAACTCAACAGCAAAGAAAAAAAATAAGGTAATTAAAAATGAAAAAAATATAGATAGATATTTCTCAAAAGAAGACATATAAATGTCCAACAAGTATATGAAAAAACACTCAATATCACTAATTATCAGAATGAGATATCATCTCATCTAATTTGGAATGTCTGTTATTAAAAAGATGATAAATGTTGGCAAGGATACAAAGAAAGGGGAACCCTTATTACACTGTTGGTGAGAATGCAAATTAGTACAACTGTTGTGGAAAACAGTATGGCAATTCCTCCAAAATCTAAAAATAGAACTACCATACGATCTAGTAATTCCACTACTGGGTATGTATCCAAAAAAGAGAAATTCATTATGTTTAAGAGATGTTGGCAGGGTGTGGTGGCTCATGCCTATAATCCCAGCACTTTGGGAGGCTGAGGTCGGCAGATCACCTGAAGTCAGGAGTTCAAGACTAGCCTGGCCAACATGGTGAAACCCCATCTCTACTAAAAATACAAAAAAATAGCCAGGCATAATGGTGGGCACCTGTAATCTCTGCTACTTGGGAGAGTGAGACAGAAGAATCGCTTGAACGTGGGAGGCAGAGCCTAGAGTGAGCAGAGTCTGGGCCATTGCACTCCAGGCTGGACAACAAGGGTTGTAACTCCGTCTCAAAAAAAGTAAACAAATAAAAGAGAGAGAGAGATGTCTGTGCTCCCATTTTTGTTGTAGCAGTATTCACAAGAGCCAAAATATGGAATCAAACCATGTGTCCATCAACAGATGAATGGATAGGGAGAATGTCATCTATATAAAGACATATAATACTATTCAGCCATTAAAGAGAATTAACTCTTGTCATTCATGGAAACATGGATGAGTTGGGAGGATATTATATTAAGTGAAATAAGCCTGGTACAAAAAGAAGATACCACATCTGCCCACTCATATATGAAAGCTAAAAGAGCTGATCTCTTAGAAGTAGAGTCAAATAGTAGTTATTAGAGGCTGAGAAGAATAGTTGGGAAAGGGGAGAGGAAAATATTGGCTAATGGATACAAAATTCCACCTAGATAAAGGAAACAAGTTTTAGAGTTCTACAAAAATGTATTGCATATTTTCAAATAGCTAGAAGAGAGGATTGTGAATGTTCCCAATATAAAGAAATAAATGTTTAAGGTGATGAATTTGGTAATTATAAATATATAACAAAATATCACACTGTATCCCAAAAATATGTGTATAATTATGTATCAATTATAAATAATATATTTTAATTCTTGTTGAATTTAATAATTAATTTTAACAATGAAATTTTTAAATAATCAAATTTATTCTAGTATCAAACAACAAAACTACAAATTCTTAGAAATAAGTCTAAATGAAGACGTATAAGACCTCTACAAAGAACTCAACAAAACATTATTGAAAGAATTAAAGAAGATATAAACAAATGCTGGTGTATACCATGATTATGGATTAGAAGACTCAGTATTTTGAAGGATTTTTTGAGGAAGTTGACAAGCTGATTCTAAAAATTATAGGGGAACACAAAGAGGAAAGAATACTGAAGATAGTCTTGAATAAGAAGATACAATTAGAAGGTTTACCCTATCAGATATCAAGACTTGCTATAAAACTATAGGAAATAAGTAATGTGACATTTGCATAAAAAAGACAAATATAACACGGAGACAGAATATAGAGACAGACACACATCTAAACATATATGTAAATCATCTAATTTATAAAAAGTCTATGACAGTCTATTCAGTAAATAGTATTGATTAATGCGTATCTTACTGCATGGAAAAAAATCCTGAAACTTAACGTCTCCCTTACACTATGCATAAAATTAACACTAGGCAGATCAAAGACCTATATTTGTAAGGAAAAACAACATAATATCATAGGAGGTTATCTTAATGACCTCGGGATAAGCAGATAATTCTTAAGTAGTGCTAAAAACACTTAACCATAAAAAGGGCTGATTATCAGATTCCCTTAAAAATTAGAAACATCTACAACTTACTAAGAAAATGATACAATTTATATTGTATATATACGAATACTATAACGATACTAAGAATACGATAAAGAGACAAAAGAATTGAACAAACGTTTGTCATTTATTCTCTCTCTCTCAAGCATGCCTGCACATGATATGCAAATTAGGTCTAAGGGCAGATAAAACAGGCATGTGAAACAGGACATTATAATTATTTTCTTCACCTGTCTTTAATTTTACACTTCAGAAAGAGAGCATCTTTGTGCTTGTGAGTTAGAAATAATAACATCTTATTTACAGGAAAGAAGGCAGCACTATAAGAGATGTTCCGTTCTGAAGTCTTGTATATTTAAATCACTTCAAGGAAGTGGTACCCTCTTTTCAAAATGCACATACTACTCTCTATTGGCTCTCATCCCAAGCCTAAGTTCGTGGTAACTGAATGACATGGAGTAAATAAAGACATAAGTCAGACACTGCTGTGATCAGTGCTGGCTCTGCCATCTGATGTCAGGGTGATAGTGGGCAAGTCACTTAACCTCTCTGAGTATCAGTTTTCTCATGTAAGATAACAGGTCAATAATATTAGTATTTATCTCAAGGGTAGTTAAGGGAATTAAATGAGGTAATAGATGTGAAAATACCTAGCACAGCTTCTAGCCCATGAACTTATATATGTACAGAACAGGGAAAAGAGACATTTTTCTGAATCTGGAGGCACTATCTATATTAATTATTTACATGATTCATATCATTTAAAGTCACCATTGTTTATCTTTTTCTATTATTTTCTATTTATTGAGCAATGAATATATGGTCCCAAAAAGTTGTCTTTTATTGTTGCAGGTATTTGTGTGTCTGTCTGCACATCAGATACAGGTTAATTTGAATGTATATGGTGCCTCTAGCAACACGTTATTTAGAGAAATAATGAAAACAGCTTGGGGGAATGGGCAGTATCCAATAATCAACACAAGAACTCTAGGTATTCCATAACAAATCAAGGAAAATTTTTTTGAAGAATTATCCTGATAAGAATCCTTTGGGTGGACCAGAGTAATGCAAGCCATGGAATTGGCTTTAACTCACAAGACAGCATAATACTGAGGAGGAAACAGAGTCAGTAACTAACACTGAGTTTAAATTTTCTCACCTGAGCCAGACTCCCTGTGATGTACATCTTTACAATATCTTTGCAAAACAATTTCTTTGCTTGTAATGCTCCATTTCATACTCCTGTCTAGAAAATTGTTACTCATCTTTTGAAATAACATACAGCTAGGGCTCAACTTACGACCACGATTGGGACCGGCAGACCGGTCGTAACACGATTTGGTCGTAAGTTGAGTAGGCTATATGTACAGTTGAAATGGTGCACGCAGAGATGGTAGTGCTGCCAGAAGCTGGTCTGCACTGTCGTACGCCCAGCTGGGCAACGTTTGCGCTGCCAGACGCAGAGCAGTCGTGGCTAGCGATTGTGGTCGTAAAGTCGAGTGGTAGTTGCATAGGTTGTAAGTCGATCAATACCTGTATTCATTTAATCAAAAGTGTATAAAGCCCCTAAAATGTATATAGTGCTATGCCAGGAAGCAAAGTTAGTGTGTTGACCAAAATCAGACCATAACCTCATCCTCATGCCCCAGCTTCTGTACCAGTGTCCCCTTTGCCCTGGGTTGCTTCCTCCCCCATACTTAAAGCTCAGGGTGCACACGTGGCATTACAGAACAATCTATGAGTTTACACAGTTGTTTCCCCAGCCTAGCAGGGGACTCCACAAGAGGAAAGACTCGATCTATTCATCTTTTCTTTCCCAGAGCACAGCTTGGAGTGTGACACATAGTGGGCTCTCGGTAAATGTTTGTTAAATTAACATTCATAATTCATGAGGTCTTGATACAGTCCAAGCTGTTACATGATCCTCCTAATGAATACTAGAGAAATGAAAACAATTATGCTCAGGAAAATTACATCTTTTTGAGACATTCTTTGTTTTTTTCATATTTTATTAGCATTTTATTAACAGACCTAGCAGCTGGTTTAAAAATGTTTGTGAAGCTAATGTCAGTGGTTTTTAAAGAGCTGCATAGCATAAATATGGGTGAAATGTGCCTGGTAAGCCTTTCTCAGCTTAAAATTATGAGAATCTTGGAAAAAATGGAATGAGTTTCCATTCACTTGGAATTAGCTATATATATACATAAGTGACTTAATATACTGGGGATTTGTTATGTTCTGTAATAATCAACAATATTCATCCAGAAAGGGAAAGTGGTAGAAGATATTCATAGAATTTGTCTTCACATCACCAAAGTTTGGTACATCCTACAAATAAGAATGTTATTTATTTTAAAACAGTATAGATTACAATATGTCCTAATTTTATAAAAGTATGTTAAACTGCCCTTGAAAAAGGGAAAAAAATAGAAGATTCTCATTACTCATGCCAAAAAAAGAGAAGAAGCCACTCTTCAAGTAAGCGTAAATATCATATGAACTTTGAAACAAAAGAGATATAATTTCCTTTCTACTTATTTAGAAATAAATGACGTGTTTAGCGTTTAATCATCTTACTAAAAGTTACACAGAAGAAACCGAAAAATAAAAGCACAAAAGTACCTACTTGGTCTGGTGTTTAGATCCTTTCAGATGGGCATGATACTGTTCTATTGAGTTTAGGGAGACACTGCAGATGGTACATCTGTAATTGCGCCTCAGACCTGTGGATGACAGACAGACTTGGTTAGCTGCATCCTGTCATCAACCACCTGCATGAATCCTAGCAACTCTGGAAGTTCAGGGACAGAGTATCTGAGAGAACTCCTGGTCTACCACACCAACACTTCAACCCCTCATTGCAGAGCACAGCCAACAGTTCTCTTAGCAGAAGTATGAATATGAATATGTTAGAAGCAGCCTATTCCATTTCTGGATGGCTTAAATTATTAGAGCATCCTCCTTTGAATTGAAGTAAGGTGTTTCTGGACATTTTATACTCAAATAAAGATGCATTCTATTTTTCTCTAGAGCATGCAGACATAATACTTTGTCATCTCTGCAGTGAAATTTGAGACTCCAGAGTAAAACTCTATCCCAATTCCTTTCCACTCTATTCCAATGGCAGCAATGGAAATTCAACTCTAGACATTATTCATTTAGGTGTCCCTTCTAAGATCATTTTATAAAATGTAAATACCAGGAGAAGATTAATACATCAGTTTGGTTCATGTGAAGTCTTACTTTCCACCAGAATTTAGAAGACAATCTATTCATTCAATTTTTCATTCATTTAATTAATTCACTAATACAGGATCAACTTTGGAGGTACTAGGGAAGCCAAGATGAATAAGATGATCTTTGCTTTCAGAAGTTTAGTAAAAATCTTGACTCATCTAGAGCCAATTTATGTTAAAAAGCAGCTTTAATCAAATAGCTCTAAACATTTACCACAGAGCCGAAACCCATAATGAAACACATTCCTTCTGCTAGGAGTCCCTTCAGAGTAGAGAGAAAAGTAAAGTTGGTCATGATCTGAAATGCTGGATTTTAATTCTGACTCCAGTCATTTCTTGTTCTGTGATCCAGAGGAAGTCACATAACTTCTTTCTAGCCTCAGTTTCTTCATCTATAAAACAAAGATAAGGCCAACCACATCACTAGGTTTTGTAGGAAGTAAGTGAATAAGATACTAAAATGGCCTGTAATCCCAATGCTTTGGGAGGCCGAGGCAGAAGGATTACTTGAAACTAGGAGTTCAAGACCAGCCTGGGCCAAATAGCAATATCCTGTCTCAAAAAAATTTTAAGTCAGGCGTGGTGGCACACAGCTGTAGTCCTAGCTATTCAGGAGGCTGAGAGCCCAGTTCAAGGTTACAGTGACCTATGATAGTGCTACTGCCTTCCTGGATGACAGCCTGGATGACAGAGTAAAACCCTGTCTCAAAAAAAAAAAAAGACATATATTTATATATATAATAATGTTTAGCAAATGAGTACAAAATCCTTTTCTAGCACAGTAAACGCCAGGGCTGAAAGCTGTAGCATTTGTTTTTATCAATGCATGGTATTAAATTTCTAAGAGGCAAAGTTATTCCTCTTTTCCTAAAAAGAAAATAAATGCCCTGTGCTGAAACAGCTTTGCAACTTGCTCCCTGGGTAACTTTATGCAAATTATTTGACCTGTCTGGACTTCTGTTTTCCTACAGCATCGTGGAGAGAGCTGAGTGAGATATCGCATGTATGTGGCAGTGCCCGGCACATAACAAGTGATCAATATGAGCTCGCTATTCTTACTATTTTCAAGAGTTGTTGAAATGGAACACTTTCTGTATGAGCGTGCCAGCTGAAGTCCTACTGGGAAGTCCTAGACCCAAATGATAAATATACCCACATTACCAAAATGACATAAGAGAGCATCAGAGCAGAACGTCCTGGGGAAGTGGTCACGAACCTGTGCTGACCACTCACCAACAGTATAAAGAAGAGACTGAAGAAGACAGAAGTGGGTAGATACTTTCTTAAGACAGAGCTGTATTGTACTGTGAGTTCCTTGTGGGACTGTGGAGTTCTTCTCCTCACCTTAAGCCTGCAGAGAAGGGATTCCATAGAACTACCTAGAGGATTTGAGGAGCATGTTCTTGTTACTCGGAAGTGGTAGATTGGACTCTGACATCACCTGCAAGATCCAAAGGGCTAGAGATTGTGGTTTGTTCTCTTCTCTGGTGGCAAAGTGTAAAAGTGGGCAGAATTGGGCATGACCTGTGATCTCACAGCTTGTCAGAAGAAAGGATATGTGAAAGCTTCCCACAGACTGCACGTACCCTGTATGAGAGAAGCTGATTTGACGACTTCTTAGACACTACCCAGAAGGGCTGCCTGAAGTTGAGGGCAATGAGACTTCTGCAGAAAGATGCTGGAAGTGTTCATCTGGTTATCTAGGTGCTTAAAGTGATCCCAGAGAAGCTACTTGGCCTGTATTAAGTAATGACGAGTTCCTGAAAAAGCCATGAAATTTGTAAACCAAAAGATATCTGAGACAGGTTTCAATCAATTTCAATTGAGATAATTTATTTTGCCAAGATTAAGGATGCACCTGAGGACATGTGCCCAAAGTGGTCAGGGCACAACTTGCTTTTATACATTTTAGGGAGCCACGAGACATTAATCAATATATGTAAGATGTACATTGTTTGGTTCGGTAAGGTGGAACAACTTGAGGCAGGGACTTCCAAGTCATGGGTAGACAAGAGACCAGGTTGCATTCTTTTGAGTCCTTGATCAGCCTCCCACTAAATACAGAATTTAGTCTGACTCAGTGAATGTGCATTTTTACATCAACAATAGGATGGAGGAAACAATCACATATGCTTTTGTCTCAGGTGAGCCTCAGAGGGATGACTTTGAATTCTGTCTGTCCTTTGTCCACAAGGAATTTCCTTGTGGGCAAATTGTGAGGGCTGTACGTAGCTTTGGAAATTTGTAGCTATCTTATTTAGGAAGAAAATGGGAGGCCAGTTTCCCAGCTTGACATTTCCCTTGGCTTAGTGATTTTGGGGTCCTGAGATTTATTTTCCTTTCACAGAAACATCCTGAGAAGAGGAATCAGTTTGCACTTCCTGCCCAGTCAGGCAGTAACCAGGTTAGCTGTGCACAGGATCTACCAAGTAAACACCCATTGCCCTTGCAGGCCTTCCACCTGCATCCTTCAACCCTGGAGGAACCAGAGCAATGCACTGAGGTAAAAGAAGAAAAGCAAACACTCCAGGCAGAGACAAAGAGAAGCCTCCCACACCTTCTTTTCCCCTGTCAAATACACAGCCCGAAGCAGAACTGAGCTGGAAGAGGGGGACAACTAACTTTTAGTAAATTTTGGAAATATTTAAAAATTATTGCTCTATCATAAATATATTAATTAAGGAAATACAGAATTTATGTATTTACAAGTCAGCAAAGGACTCTTTAAACACTTAAAAGTAAGTGAAAACTCATGAAACTTGACCTAGTTTCTATCTAAAAGATTGGAAAAAATAACCCCACAGAGACAATTTGAATAAGCAAATGCAGGGCAGGAATGAATTTTCTCTTTTTTTTTTTGAGACAGAGTCTCACTCTGTCACCCAGGCTGGAGTGCAGTGACGCGGTCTAAGCTCACTGCAACCTCTGCCTCCAGAGTTCAAGCAATTCTCCTGCCTCAGCCTCCCAAGTACCTGGGATTACAGGCATGGGCCACGATGCCCCGCTAATTTTTATATTTTTAGTAGAGATGCGGTTTCACCATGTTGTCCAGGCTGGTCTTGAACGCCTGCCCTCAAGTGATCCACCTGCTTTGGCCTCCCAAAGTGCTGGAATTACAGATGTGAGCCACGGCACCTGGCCTAAAGTTACTTTAGGATTGCATCAAATCCAATGAGTCCTGCTTGCTGAATGTCAGTTTCCTCAGAGCTGCCCATGTCTACAATCTGAACAAAGAGTAGAGCTTGCTGGAGGGGTTCGAATTCCTATGGCCCAATGAGCATTTCAGAGAGATCTATTTGAAATGTATATCATAAGCTGGGTGGGTTGACATGAAAGCTAGCTTTGTTTTTGTTTTTGTTTCAATCACATAATCAGGTATTGACTTACCTAATTGCTCAATTAAGAGTCCATTTAATTATGAGAAGCACAATGAAACCACATATATCTGAGATCTTTGTAGAAAGGAACCTAAGAGACTGACAGCCTTTCAGGAACAAGCTGCCAGTTCAGAGATAAAACAGACAAATGTTGAAACCTATTTTCTCAAGCAGTGACTCTCAAACTTCAGAGTGTGGATGCATCCTCCCGTGACCATGATAAAATCCAGATTCCCAGGCAGGCTCAACTTCTGGAGATGCTGATACTCTAAGCTTTGGTTTGGGGCTTGGAAACGTACGAGAAGTTTCAGAACATAATACCCAACCTTATCATACACCTGCACTTTACAAATAATTCTCCCATAAAATCATACTCCTTTTGGGAACTTGAATTTGACAGAACAATACCAGACCAAAAAAAAAAAGCTATTCCATAAAAAAGTGCTATGGGTATACTGCCTTTCCATTTCACAGGCATGCATGATTCTGAAGAGTACTATGATCCCCAAACCCAAAGGCTATAAGTTATCACTACCAGTGTGTGAGTTGCTTAAATGCTTATCCAGGGCTGACCCATCTCCTTTTCTATGCATGGAGTCAGAATACTAAAACCAGCTTCAGGGTTTATTCTTTCCAGAGTTCCCCATTAATCTTGTCATAATAAATACTAATACTATTTATACAGGTCCTCTTAAGGCTACACGCTAATCAAAGGTCTCCCCATAACAAATAGAGGCTCAGCTTGCAATAGGCATACATATTTATGTTTAAAAATGGGCATTTTTAAGAACTTCAGCAAATCTAAAAAATATTCTGATCTGTTGCTTTCCATAACAGTTCTCATGCTCTGTAGCCAGAGGCATGGGCAGAAATATTTGGCATTTTATGGCAATGCAAACTGCAGGGACTATAAATTGGAAAGGCAGTGCATATAAACAAGAAAAAAGGCAGAGAAGGGGCAGAGGAGTCCTCCTCCACACATGACACAGTGTTCTTGGTGGGAACTGTGCTTTATTAATGCACAGTTGAAATCCTGATTACTTTGGAATTCTATGACTCTTCTTTTCCTTAGAGAACTAGAACATCTTATTAAACCAAAAAAAAGCTAAC